CATCCCTTCACCCAAACTGAGATATGCCTCTCGGCATTACACGTTCATAAATCAAAGATACCGTCCTCCACTCATCGTCATACGGGTTAAATACAATACTACTAATAAAAGGAATAAATCAAAAGAGTAAAACACTAATTAAGTACAATGATTATAAAGTCTAAATACAAAGGTTATAAAGTCACAAATATCAACGGTTATAAATCAAAAACAAGGGAAAGGCTACCAAACGACTCACTTTTCTCAAAACGGTTGGCTGAGATAACCCGTCGCTTCACTTTCTCCGTTACTAAGGTTACAAACTCTATATCAAAAGGTCAAAAAAAAAACTAAGGCTTGGCGGTGTAACCAAGCGATCAGCCAATCGCTGCAGTCGACAGCATGATCACGTGATTACCAGGAATGCGTCTCTCGGTTAAAGCATTGCAAAGCGGTAACTAATAAACAATGAATAAAAAGCTATTAATCAAACTCCTGACATATACGCTTATAAACTTCAACTGAACTCACAATTCGTTAATCTAAACAAAAGTCATACGGCGTGGAAACAGAATGCAAAGACAATGTCGCTTTCATAACACATTACTCCTCTGGCAAAAAAGACGGGAAAGGCTAAAACGATAGAAACTACTAAGTCACATATAAACCTGTCAATCATGAACAAAAGCTTGCGATATCAAACAATACGTATATAAGCGCACCAAACTCTCATCCCAAAAAGACATTAAAAAACGTTACAAAGGCGCTCTCAACTCAAAAAGCGTCAGAAGTATTCCGGAAACAACTTGAACACATAAACAAAAACAACTCTTAAAACGTCGATATCTCTGTACTCGACAAATCTCAAAACTCTTAAAAAAAACACGTGGGGGCATCACTCTCCCCATCATAATACGTACTCATAAACTCATTAAAACACCATAAAACATCACAAAACTCAAAACACTGTGTTGCAAATACTTGTCCACTGAGGCGCGCTTAAATCGTTATAAAGGACCTCGAACGTCACCAAATATCATTTCAAAACAAAGATCTGGGCGCTTACATACATACAATTCGACATCACAAAAAAAAAAACGGTAAGAAAAAAGATAGAAAAAGCAAACAATACATTACATTACTGAGCAATAGGGTTAGGGTTCTGGAAAAGAGTTCAACGTCCTTGAGTTACAAAGTGTCAGTTACAGTGTCCAGCGAGCAGTTCTCTAAGCAAATAGCTAAAGTCAAAGTCTATAAGCGTCTCTTCTCTCGTCGCGTTAGTCCGGGGTCGTTCTTTCATCTTATTGTCTTTAATGTCGCTCAATTCTTAATTATACAGTCCTATCCGGTACTCATCCTTCATAAGGGGTTCAGAGGTCTTCATCTCTTCAGCGTCGTTCATCGGTGCCATACTGTTAACGGTGTTAGTCGTCAAGCGCGGTTTCGTCTCTGCCATCGAGCCAGTTAGTTCGGTTCGCAAGAAAGACACACCTTCGCCATTCACTTCTCTTCACAGGATGTCAATGTGTGTTAAACACCTGCCCGGGTTCATCCAAAACGTATCAGGGGTAAATCTTCTTCTCTCGGGGTTCTCCACACTTGTCAGGGGGGAAACTCGTCTCGTCTCTATATCTCGTCCCCTTGAGGTACGGGATCGGGAAAGTCACTTTAACTTTACAGTCAAATAAGACACACACAACGAAATACGTTTCAGCTCTCGTCTTAGTCGGTCAATCGAGCACTCTATCAGACACAGCGCCCTGGGGAAAAAGTCCCCAAGACTCTCTTAAGGCTGACCCAAGACTAGCCCAAGACTGGACTGCGTCAAGGCTCGCCCCAAGACTCTCTCGGACTCGACTCGACTGCCCAGGACTGCACCCTCGACTGCCCAGGACTGCACTCGACTCTCTAGGACTGCGTCTGTCGTGGAGTACTCTTCAAGACCAACTCAAACTCTCTTTATTCATTTTCAAAACTCTAACCAATTACAAAGCAGTAAAAAGACTCTAAGGCGTAACCTTCAATCATAAAGCCAATCACACTAAGTACTGAATACGTCATATCTTTTGATTAATCGTTCACTACATTAATAACTACGGATATCAGAATAGCGACGGTATCTTGTAATTAGTTCCAAATCACTGAGCCAAGTTCCGTCCAAAACTTCAAATAGGCCTACACGATGACAGACATAACACAGCAATTCGCTAATAATCAGCTAATTAAGTCGACCAACAGATACGCAAAAACAAATTCATGACA